GTGCCAATATCCCCAAAACCAGGAACTTGCCCTCCACGTCGTCCTTCTGGATCACCAGGAACCCGCCTTGGTGGAACCGGTAGGCCGGGAGGTGCATGAAGGCTTCGGCCTCCTTGTTCGTACTCTACACGGGGATCCCCTCGTTCCAGTAGAGGTTGCCTCTCAGTTGGTCCATGATCTCCTCCTTGAATCGCTGGAGTGACACGGTTACCGTCCACTGAAGGCCTTACTCCACCACCAACTCCCCCCGTGGCAGGGCTCGCTTCAATCATTGCCATGAGGAGCTGCTTCAACTCCACATTCTCGGCCTGCAACTCATTGACTCTTGAGTCTCTGCTCTGCATAGCTTGCTGAACAGCCTTCCGTACTTCCTCCTGCACGACCTCAGGTTGCAGGGATCCTGTTGAGGACTGGTCACCGGCATGTTCACCTGGGCTTGCAGCTCCCGCACGAGGTTGTTGTTCAGGAGGTCGGGGAGCTTCAGCAGCATTGAACGTAGGGGTTGTCAGGGACCATGTAGGCGATTGTGAGTACCAAGATGTAGGTGACGCAGCAGGTAAAGGTCTAACAAGCTCCAAGCCCCGCTGAACCATCCCCCTTATCCTCGCAAAGCAAATCATTTGATCTCCACCAGCCTCTGCAACCTCCGCCATCTCCACTGCAGCATTGGTCTGGCCTGTACCTGCAGATTCAGCCATCAAGAACCTTGAAGCCCTGGCATGTAAAGCAACCAAGGCGTTTTGGCTCATAGGCATGTTAGACCCATCATGGCCACCCTCGACGATGCGTTGCGCTGGGGCCTCAAAGCTTGCAGCTGCCGACACAGGCTGGTGTTGAGCGTTAGGTTGCGACTGCTGCTGCCGTGACGTAGTTGCAAGGTGAACTTCAGGATCTACTGCTGGCTGCTGCGGTGGTGTGCCAATGTTGTACTGCTGAGGTTGGGCTGCAGTTGGCTGCTGGGATTGCTGCTGGCCTGGCCTGCTACGAACCCCCATAGTCTCTCCCTGAAACCTTCGTACGTTCGCGCCCGATCCGGTTGCCGCACTCTGAGCTGACCCAGTGGTCGCATCCATACGCTGCCCACTGTCTGTCGCGCCCGATCCGGTTGCCGCATTCTGAGCCGACCCAGTGGTCGTATTCATCTGCTGTCCCACTCCAGTCACTCCAGGCTCGGCTGTGCGTGAGGTCGAAGAAGATGTGCGGGCAGGCAAACCACTGCCCCGCGGCTGTTCCAAAACTCCCGAACCCGTCGTGACAGTTCTGCCTCCTGGAGAGATCGGATTTTGAGAACCGATCACCCCATTCAGCAAAGACTGCCCTTCAGCCATAGTTCGATTCCTGCCCCTGCCTCCCTCCAGTGAAGGATCGCCGGCTCCACCAGCATCCACGCCACCATAGTTCGGCACCTGGGCCGCCATGTTGCTCTGCTCTGGCCCACCAAGCGTAATGCTTGGGCTCATAACCTGTCGGGCACTGGCGTCCGGGTTGTAGGGTGTCGTCATCAAGTGGACCCAGGCCAAAACAACATGGCATCGAATTGATTTTGCTATCATCACACGCTCAACGCGAGGAAACGTCTTGAGAGGGTCTTCTGTCTATACATTGAAGACTGCCGATATGGCTTTACACAGTTCGGAAATGCAACCTATTGGGTGTACAGTTAGGTTGCTATTTCGCCACAGGAAACTTACGAAGTTGTTGAGCTTGATCAATGATCGCTGCGACCAAAGACCATAGGTGCTGCAAGCTGGGCAACATACATGCGCTTCATCACTCCTCCTTGTTGCAGGCCTGCGGCTTGCAACACTTGTACCATGCTGCCAGCTAACGTCACCCTCGGTTCCATCGGGCCAGCCACTCGGACACTGCTGTTCTCGTCGCCAGGTTGACCCATAGGATCTGCGTCCGGCCCGCCAGCTGAAAATGCCTCCAGGTCCACAGGACGTAGCGAAGCTGGCGAGTCGTCGGCAAATGAGCCGGCGGGGGTTCATCGCCTAGTTGGCCGCCCAACCTCCTCGTGAGGTCACTCTTTACACCGCTCACAGGGAGGCCCTCCGAGGCCAAGCCATCACGTAAGTGCTGGACTGTCAACAGCCCCAAAGCATCTTGAACGACCCGCTCGCGATCAAATTGCCCTGAGATTGGTGAGGGAGGCACAGACTGTCCTCTCTCCGGCAGCGGTGGTGTAGCTGGCCGAATCTCACCAAACGTGCCTTCCCTCGATTCCCCAACATTCATTGGGGCCATAGGCCTCGTCGTGGTAGTCGGGCTCCTCGGGCTCGACTCGGTCGTAGGACTAGGCAACGGGGTAGTGGACCTCGGCCTTGTAGACCCGCTCGTAGCCGTGGTCAGAGCCCTCTGTCGCGCGGCTTGAATCACCCGCTCGCTTGAAGGAACATCATCTTCATCCATCCACTTCTCGATCTCCGCCTCGGCTGCGATCCTCGCGAGCTCCTTCAGCTTGCGAATCTTCCTTTCGCGCTTCGACCCGAAGAGCCTCGGATAGGCCCATCCACCCAGCGCCTTTCCTGCTTCCCACAAAGCCACTGCTGAAATACATGTGAGAATCAGCAGGACAACAGCTCCATGGTCCCAACCGTTGGAAGGGGTTCTTTGGCCGCCGATACCGCCAAAGACTGAACCGCCAATAACAGCAGAAACACACAGCCCAATTTCAAGCACTGCAACACCTTCTTCTCATCCAACCCAGACAGGCCTATCATCCCCCAGGTCCCAAGTAGGTGCAGTAGCCGTGCCTTGGAATGCAGCTTTGTCGGTAGATCAGCAGGTTGGTCCTCTCCAGCCAAATGCTGGACGTAGAGCTCTCCATTCTTGACGCGGTCCATCACATAGGCATGCCGAATCCCCGAATCCTTAAATGTCTCGTCCGCCAGCTCCCAGTGGAACCATTGAGTAAATTGCTCGCGGCCTGGTTGTCGATGTACAACGTGGGGGTGCTTGTAGCAGGTAGAATTTCTCTCAACATAGCTTCCGTCGACTGTACCAACAGAGCGCAATTGGATCCTTCGAGTAATTCTGCCTCGCAGACCGACATAGATACTATCGGTTGTTTCCCGGCTTTCCATGTCACAGGGGTCTTGCCGATCATCACTAGGCTACAGCCGAAACTTTTACCCCCGTGTGGGGCATAGGACGCATCGCTGTACCCAGTCAGACCTACCTTGAATCCCGCATAGTGCCTAGAAGCCTGGACCCCTGTTGTAGCTGTTGTGGCTCCGATCTCTGCTGAAGCTGTTGTGGCTGTTGTGGCTCCGATCTCTGTTGAAGCTGTTGTGGCTGTTGTTGCTTCGGTCTCTGCTGAAGCTTCGACCTTCAACTTCAAGCCCGCAGTGGCGTTCAGGTAGGACATCACCTTAAGACCAATCTGGTACACTTTGACAGGTCGTTTGGTAGTCATTGCAGCCATATAGTTCGTAGCGTAAAGGATGTCGGGGCGTGTACGATAAGCCAACCAGAGGCATTCTCCAGTAACCTTCTGAGCCATCATCAGCTCTGAAGAACTGTAGTTCTCCTCCTCTGCCTCCGCATCATCCTCCTGAATCCACTCCTTGGGGCAAGGAAGTCCCGCACTGACATCAACATCCAAACCATGTAGGCGCACCAGATTGGTAATGTAGGCTTCTTGAGAAAGGGTGAAGAACCCTTCCTCTTGCTTGAGTTCCATCCCCAAATACCTCAGGCCGTCCGTCGCATACTCCAGCGGTGAGCAGGGCCAGATAGCCCCAATGCTCTCATGCAAAAGTTCGATTACCGGGGTATCAGCCAGGTAGAGGATGTCATCCACATACGTCACAAGGATGCCCTTCAGATTCGGTTGGCCGCCATTCTTAGGCTCCTCCAGAATCATCCACAACTCACTGTCCGTCATCATCTGCTTCAGGAAGATTCGCCCGTCTCCGTTGTCCACCACCAACTCCTTGAGGACCTCTGTCCTGTGGGCTGCCCACAGTGCGGGACTTTCCCGCAATCCGTAGAGCGCCCTCTTCACGATAAATACCACCTCCGGTTCCACCAAACCCGCTTGCAGGAGAACCCTTGGCGGCAGCACGCCGTAGGTGGGCCTGTTCGCTGGCCATAGCGCCTGCAGGAAGGCCGCAGACACGTCCGTAGATGCCACGCTCCAGGACATAGCCACCGCGAGTGCGAGAGCCAACCGTAGTCCCTCAGCGCTTGCTCCGGCCGCGAAGAGGTCGTTAGGGTCGTGCCATTGCCCTGCATGGTTGCCACAGATCACTACCCTGGCCTTGCGCTTCCAACGTGGCTGCTGATCCTTGGAAACATTTGCCTCTGGCGGGGGTGGCGGTTTGACTGTGCACACAACCTTCCCTGGGATCAGGATAAGCTTGCCCTCACGCTCCATTGCCCTGGCCTCCGCGATGGGTCGGCGCTCAATCGCGTCCGTTTTCTCCTCGAGGTTCGAGAGCTCCTTCTTCAAGGGATCGACCCATTTGTCCAGGTTGCGCTTGACTTGGTCGAGGGGAACATCCAGCGTGACATCCAGGTCCTTCTTGAGATTGGACAAATACTCCTCAATGTCCCCAATCTCCTTGTCATCATTGACATTGGCCACCCTCAGGTACAATTTGTGACACTTATCCTCGGTCTTCTGAATCTGCTCCTCCACGTCCTTGATAAGGTCACGAACTGCACCGTTGACACCCTCAATCTCCTCATTGATGGCCTCGCCCACAATATTCAGCTCCTCAGCAAGGATCTCCTCCTCAGCTAGGAACTCGCGCAGCCACTCACGCCTCTCCTTGAGGCGATTCAACACGTCATCTTGTAGTTGCCGTAGTTCCCGACTGACATCCCTTGCCTTTTCGCGCTTCTCCTCCTCAACCTCGTTGACCAAAAACATCACCGCCTCGGGTTCATCCTTGGCCTTGGTCATAGTCAACATCTTCAACACTGTTTGTTGTAGTTGATCAGGTACACGAGGTAGTAGAGGAGGTGGGTTGAAACCGAACTCACAGAGGGTCTCATAGGTGTCATGTTTCATGCTTGTAGTTCTTGGGGTGTAGGCGGTGATCACAAGTCTCGCCCCCGTCCAGGGCTCTGTGGCATGGTAGCGCCTGGGGTTGATTTCCAAAGGAACGCCAGGTTGTAGCTCATGAACACGACCTCTTCTCCATCCTCCCTTTGGCAACTCCCGCCACTCATCGTCGTAGCTGTAGGACTCGGGTGAAGACTCCATCCACACACCTCCGCCTTCTTCGCATTGTTGTAGAGGAAGTAGCCAGTTACTTCGGGCACCATTGTTGTGAACGTCGCGGTGGCACTTCATACCCACATTCTCGGTGAGAAGCAAGGCCGTGAAGTCGTCCCTCCCGGTCATCTCCTTGAAGGCTCGTACCAGGTAGACAGTCACCGCGGGGTGGAGGTACGTGTCTTTTACAATCCCACATTGGCTCCCGTAGGTGTACTGGCCAATCAACCATTGAAGTCCTTCTCCCTGGGTGGTTCTTGAGGTTGGTCTGGCCTTGGCCTTGAGGAGTTCCCACAACTCAACAACATGCTCGGGCTGGAACTGGTTGTTGTTGAGGAACGATTTCGCGAGGTTGTCGATGTCGTTGTTGGCGTCCACGATGGCCTTAGCCAAAGTGGTTTTTCCCCGAGTTCTCCGTTCTGGTAGTGGAAGTTCAACCTCATGAGGTCCAAGCTGCACCAGATCGTCCGAATCCACCAAATAAGGTCTGATGTGGACTGAAGTCGTGTAGGAACCATCTTCATGACGCACCACACGGCCACCCTTCACATCATTGGAGTAGCCCACAAATAGGCCCTCCTTCCATCGCTCCAGTAGGTCATATCGTCCTCCTTCACCGAAGCGCTTGTACTTCACGTGCGTCGGGGCTCCAAAGGCAAGGTCCTTGTCCTCGTAGTTCCCTAGGGCCAAATCCCTTTGTCGCCTTGCTGCAAACTCAGCTGCCACCGGCCAACACGTCGCTGGGAGGCCCGAGGCCCTGAGTAGGACCTTCACGCGGCGCTTGATCTCCCGGACCAAAGCCTCAGCTCGTCCGTTTTGCTGCGGCTGCTGGCTCTCCCCAGTGGTCGCCAAGATATCCCTGTCTGCCATCCAGCTTCGGGTCTCCTTGGCCTTGAGCTCCAAGCCGCGGTCGGAGTGTATTCGCACAAGAGGTAGCCCATGCTGACGGAGTTGAAGATAGATGTGCTGGATCTTCGCCCGCACCTCCTTGGATGTGCGGGACGTCATCGGGACCACAAAGTTAAGCGTCTGGCACTCAATGTCGTCACCGATGTCCTTGTAGATCCGCTTGAACCTCTCGTTGAGGGCCTTCTGCTCTTCATCCTCCTCCTCAAGTGGGTCGTCGGTCTTGTCCTCCTCCTCGAAGGGATCCAACTCAGGCTCGATGTCATCCTCTTCTTCAACCGCAGGCAACTTGTGGTCCCTTGGCAAATCCAGCTTTGGATGTGAATAAGCCCCAACCAACAGGTAGCGGAACTTCTTGCCTTCTTGAGTTTCCCCTCGAGTCCTCATAGGGCCGCAAATATCCAAGGATAACGTGTATGCACTCGGGGTTAAGCATCTCCGATGCGCCCTTCCTGTTGCACTTCCCCGGACACAAGTCTGACAACGGCGATCGTAGGGGACGTGGTTGTTGCGTACATGGGTTTCCCAATAGGCCAGGTCCTTCGCATTGAGTTCCCGGGAGCCCACGATCTTGCACAATGTTGCCTCATGCCTTCGTAGGTCGCTGCGGCGCCAGTTGAGTATGGCCTGGGCTATACCAAGTTTCAAAGGCACCGGCCAAGAGGAAGCTGGGGTTTCATAGTTCAAGCTCATGATAGCTGCTTCCTCAATGTCCATCCCATCCGACAAACCCAATGAGGACGCCATAAAGTACATGTTGCCTGGTGTTCCCACTGAGTGGTACTTGAGGAACCGCATCTCGTCCTTGAACTTGATCCATGCCGAACTCGTCCACAAAGGATGCCAAGTGGGGGCCTCCATACAGAAAAAGGGTGCGCACAGGGAGTTGAGGACCGCACCGGAGTTCGCCACCAGCCAAACCAACAACATTCTCTTGAGCAGCGCCGGGCCGTGCTCGGCACCTCTGGGGGGCGCCCCAATGATGCCCTCGATCTGGCCCCTGGCTGCTGCCCACAGGAGCAGTCTCGCAGCTGGTCCATACGTCTTGAGGTCATAGGCCTTGGAGTCTCGCACATCCATTCGGATCACCGTCACATCCTCCGACTCAGCTCTAGCAAACTCCTCGCCCTTCTCATCTCCGTTGTATAGATGAACCACCCATCTTGTCTTCAGTAACCGCTTCCTCATAGCCCTGTTGATGGGGAGCGCCTTCAGGTAGTGCCGCCTCGTCGGACAAGAGGATGCGATCGTCGACACCAATCATGCCAGCAACCTCCGCCTCGGCCACCGCATCCAACGGGGACTCTTCATCCAAGAGCATCCTCCTCAAGCAGGCACGTTCACCCTTTTGTATAAACTCCTCCAGGTGATCCAGCCACGTGAGTTGAGTCTCCTCGGCCGACATCATCTTGAGGACTCCATCCGTGTTGTTCTTCTCCAGCTTGTCGAGCTCTAGCTGCTCCAGGTCCGCAATCAACTGGAGCGCTTCGGCTTCACGGAGGACCGGGGTGTTGCCAACCAGCTTTGTTGGTAACAAGCCGTGCTCGGGGTGCGTTATGCGAAGGCCCTTTCGTTTGCTCCAATCCAGCTTGCATCCCAAGGAACTCACCAGGCTTCCCAAAGGGAGGATTGTCCCACCGCTGTCGTCCTCCGCCAGCAATGTGCCCCCTTTGGTTTGCCGAAGGAATACATGGCGTCCATCCGCGAGCTGCACCTTGACCTGCTTCGCCTCCTTTGCCTCCTCGAGCGTTTTGGGGGCCCTATAGGCATGTGAGGCCCCGCTGTCCAGCAAAGCCATGCCGTGGCTCTCCCCAAGGCCTTGGGAGCGTAGCAAGAGCTCCAAGTCCACCACGGCGTTGTCCGTGACCGCTTGCAAAGGTGCAAGCCTCTTGATCTTCGCAAGGAACTGCTCTGCCAACTCCCTAATCTCCCCGCTGTTGTTCTGTTCGGAGAGCAACACCGTCGACGCCGCCGAAGAGGAACCACTAGACCCCGACACAGGCTGCGTAGATGTAGGTCCCACGGTAGTAGATGACGTCATCACCTGCGCATGCGTGGGCGAGGGGTTCTCAAGCGTAGAAGTTGCTGAAGTGGAAGCCGTCGGAGGGATAAGCGTTGAGGGCTGGGGGTTGTTCAGGGTCGCGACCTGTGCCGTTGGGGTAGTCGATGCCACTGAGTCTCCAGGTGCTCGGCGATCACCGCTTCCCTTCGAACCCTTTTTTCCCCCGACCTTGGTAGGGCACTCCTGCTGCCTGTGGTTAATGCTACCACATGTCCAGCATCTCGCCTTCTTGTCCTCCTTTGACGCAAAGTTGTGAGCGTACTTGCAGTTGGAGCCCCTCCGACATCCCTCATCTGTTGACCAAAACTTGCAAGGCGCTTGCTGCTTCTGGCCTTTGCCCGTTGGTGATGTAGTAGGTGTAGATGACGCTCCGTGGTCAACCGTCACACCCTTCAGCTTGGTGTTGTGGTCCTTGCCATATGGAATCACCTGCTGCAGTTCCGCAATGACGTGGTCCGCATACGTCAACACCGAGGACAAACCCGGCTTGTAAGGCAGACTGAGCTCGTTTTTGGCCATGTTCAGCTTGAAGTTGACGTCCTTCTGGGCCTCGGTAATGGGCTTGATGGCCGCTTCAACCGCCACCAGCAGCACGCTCCCATCGGGAAGCGACACCCCCATCTCAGCCGCCCTTCCAATCAACTTCTTCCACCGGCGGAGCGCGGCAATCATGTCGATGATGTTGCCCTGGGGCTGGATATACTCCAACTGTTTAATCAGGCTAGCCCGTTCACTTGCTCCACCTGGGGCGTAGATTGTGTACAGCTTGTACAGGCAGTGTTTCACCCGATCAATGCGCAACATGGTGATCTCGGCCTTAACACTGGGGCTCATAGAAGCCAAAAGAAGTGCCATCACCCTCCTTTCCAGCCTGGCCCATCTTTCCCCGTCCACAACATCATCGTTGCCCACGACAATGGACAGGCGCTTGAGCGGCGACTCATTCTGGAACTTGTGGTACGCATCCTTCGCCAGCTCAAGGTTATGATTCCACCATCCTGTGGCCTTGTCCGTGATCGAACCCACCAACTGGCCCGCCTCGTACACCCACTCCAAGAATAGCACCGCACTGGAGTCCTGGTAGGGCTCGGGCAATGCTGGGAGCGTCACGGCTCCCTTCAGCAGCTCTGGGTCCTGAGTATCCTTCTTGAGCTGGAGCTGCTGAAGCTGCTGAATCCCCTGGGCCAGAAGGCCCATGTGAGCCACCGGGCTCTTGTCATCCTTGTCCAGGTCTGGGACAATGGCATCAACCCTTCTTGACGAAGCAGAACCAGCGGCCCCATCCGGTCTTCCTGTGACATCATCAAAGTCACCACCTTCAGGTCTAGCTGCTGGC